GTTAGTTACAGTTTTGTACTGGATCATCCCGGAATGTGGCCATGAGGACTGCCGCATATGTTACTCAGGATATGTGTTCTAGCTGATCCTGACACTGCAGCTACGGAGCGACCAGTAGCGGAGCCTCGGAACTTGTTGATTCGTGTCTGGGTGCCATGTCCTGCGAAGTGATGATAAAGCGTTGCAGGAATGTTCATCTTCAAAATGACATTATAGTCCCCCTTAAGTAGATCGAATATGGCCTTGGGTATATTATGTAATAAGACCCCATATACCCCATTTTCTATCTACTTAAGGGGGACTATAAGGTGGCAGAGGCGTTCCTTTAGGTAGCTCGAACTCTGTCCTCCCAACAGTTGAACCCTCCCTTCCGCTGTGTTTTAAAATCTATGCCTCTCCCAGAGATATGGGGGTTTCCCAAAATTAGGGGTACCTTTTTGTGGATACCCATGGCAAGGATTTTAGTAACCTGGGGGTCTATATTAGGGTCCCCTTATTTCGGGACACGACCATATAAGCGTGAAGGAAACAATCTGCATGTATTTGTTGCTCTTATTTGCCTTTGTTGTTTGTTGCCTTGCTTTCATTGTACCCACAAGTTCCATTTCCACAATTTCCACAACTTCATGCAACCTTCGGTGTTGCCGTTCCTTTGGCTGTGCTTCCCATCGTTTGAATACGATGTGTCTCTTTTTTAGTACATGGTTTTGGGGCCGCCTCTCTATTGTCCGCATTGCTATCCATTGTACCTTTCTTGTTTAGATTATCTCCAACTCGCGTTATTCTTGGTGTGTCCGGATTGGTCGCATGGCCGTTGCACTTGATATCATAACTGTTTCTCATAGACGGGCCATGTTCCTGCGTCTATATGATGCGTCTGCTATAACTTATTCCCCTCCCCTGCTTCTTGCTATAGGAAAACTGGGCGACGAAATTGACACATGATGGCAAAACTGTTGGCGGCGGCAGCAGCAGCAGCACAACAAAACAGCAGCACTAGTAGCATTAACTACACGAACAAGGCGGTTAATATTAGTATAGGTAACACACATCAAGAATGGCAATGAGACGCACGTGGGGCGACAGCAACGTTCATATTGTCAGGTACTGCCAGCATAACCTGAGTCACAATCTCAGATTGTAATAAAAAGCGCGTAATGGCAATGGCAATAACATTAATGAGCATACAGAGACAAATCGTATCGCTGCGAGCGTCCTTGGAAATAGATGAAAAAACAGCTATCATGGCAGTACGAAGAGCAGGAACGATTCGGTAAGTGTGCGTTCGGTAGGAGAAGGAAAAATGCTCCGAACAGACACAGTGCAAACTGAAACACACAGTTTAGAGGGCTTCGCTCGGCTATCTTGGCTTTAGTGAGTAAAGGGGTTGGGGGAGGAAGCCCCCAATACGTAAGATGGAGACAATAGCCTAATGATGAAAATGGTACTACCAACATGCTTTCACAACGTATACTTGTTAAAAGAAATGATGAAAATGGGGACTCTGGTGCCCACAACAGAGAATAACAACAACAATGCTAGAATCTAGAAGAGATTCCGACGGTAATTAGGTCCTGACCGCCACAGAACACTCCAACACCACCCACAGAGCTGCAAACACCACGCCAAGAAAACTTCCATTCAAGAGCACTCCATGGACACCGCCGAGAGCGAGCTGTGAAAAACGCGAGGATGCTCTCCAGGAGCCACAGAAACGTCCAGAAGCTGTGACGGCTACAGGGATCATGACATCGAGGCTCAAGGAACGACTTCTTCTTCTTCGGGTGGTAGAGGACCCTACGGCCCTCTCGGCGCACAGCGCCGCACCCCGCAAAGGTTCAAGTCAGTGGCCAAGATCTGTCTCTGTTCCCGTGCATTTTACAGCATCCATCAGGGCTGCGCGAGGTGTACTGCTCCCGTTCAGCCCAAGTATCTTGGACCCACCTGCGAAGCCCAGCTGCCTGCAAGCAACCTCAGCATTCGTGTCATCCCAGTCATTGTCACAAATCCAGCCCCATTCTCCATTCACTCCCACCTCCAGCCTGCCATACACCTCAGAGTCTTCTCCGAGCCTTAGGCTTACCTGGATTCTAGTGAGGGTTGTCGAAGTGGTGCTGGATGTGGAGGAAACGGTTGAGGTCAGAGTGGTTGAGGTACTAGATGAAGTTGAAGTCAAGGTTGCCGAGGTGGTACTGGATGTGCTGGATGAAGTTAAGGTCAATGTTGCCGAGGTAGTGCTGGAAGTAGAAGATGAAGTTGAAGTTAAGGTGGCTGAGGTGGTACTGGATTTACTGGATGAAGTCGAAGTCAAGGTGGTTGACGTACTCGAAGAAGTCGAAGTCAAGGTGGCTGAGGTAGTTCCGGAGGTACTGGATGAGGTCGAAGACACGGAGCTACTGGAAGTTGAGGTCAAGGTGGTTGATGTAGTAGATGAAAAGGAAGTCACGTTGGTTTCATTGCTGGTCTCATTGCTGCTCATGGCGGCAAACCCCACCGGGGCCATCAAAGCCATCCAGCAACAACGACCCAATTTCCAGCTCAGACCCCCTGATCCACTGCAACAGCAGAGCAAGAGTAGCAAGAGCTGGCCAACCATTTTCAAAAATGGACTGACTAGTTTTGTCCACTGCCACTACAAAAAACATGCCCGGTATTCGGTTGTGAATTGTCTGGGGCACATGTGTTACTGAGGCTGGAGGCGTAGCCCTTCATGTGCGCTGTACCCGACATGGCAGGTACAAAGTATAGAATTAAGCTGCTAGCTGCTAACTACTTTTGCTATACCTATATCTCTCGAGGTAGGAATGGGATTAGTGTCATCTTCATCCCTGATTCACTGACTCCTGCTGGTACAAGTGACAGCTGCTACTAATTATGAGTATGAGAGGATTTGCATGCATTTGCTTTCCTCCTGCTACCTACACCGCAATATGATGAGTTCCATGCAGGGACACCAAAGTGCCGGCTGCAAAGATTTGCAACATGCGGCTGCGGCGCATACAACGCGTGACAAAACAGGTGGCCCTTGGTAATTCTATAGGAATGAGAAGGAGATTGCAGGGGTCCCTATTTGACCTACTGAAGGGTTACTTCGAGAAAGTCTGGTTTGTAGTTTAGACTTGGGCGAGCTCAGCGTCAGTTCCAGACGGATGCACATGCGATGTTGACCTATGCACATGGTTCTTTCGCACAAGTGATACCTACACAATACCAATCACTGGGACTGCCAAGGTCCCTTGAACCCAGAAACTAAGACTGGGGGAATCTTCAAAACTTGAACAAGTTTGGAAAAGTTCCAGACGTGCCTAAACGGGGAGACCTTGGCTGTCGAACCTTGCTGAGAATCTTGAGTAAAAAGTATTGCCTCCCTGCACAGGTCTCATGTAATGTAACCGTCCTGCAGGTCTCCGCGTGCACTATTGGCAGCTGCTAGATTTAATTGGTAGCTCCTGTGAATTCGAAGATGATCGTCACTTGGCCAAGACTGGTTCCAGCAGCTTTTCACAGGGTCAGCACCTAGATAAGATGAACAATGATAATGCCGGCAAGGATACCGTCCACCCTGTCAATGATGAAGGAAACGCTCAGAAATAGTCGGAGCAGGCAAGACGTGATAATTCGATGGGGGCTTCCTCAATACGAGAGAAAATGGCCATGAAAGGTTCATAGACTCCTCTATCAAATCAAATCCTCCCTTGGAGCCTGTCTCTTGTTCTCGTCGCTGTGGGCGGTGTATAGCGCAGGCGTTGCGCTAGAAATCCTAAAAGCCATACAGCTGTCTAGCACAGTCAGCAAAAGGTGCACAGCGTCTGTGGGTAGATCGGCGGCTTGGCCTCTCAACAGTGGGCATTTAGGTGCCTTAATTCGTTGGTACCTTCTCAGCTAGCAACTAGGACGCGGGGTCTCACTATGGAACCCAATGTCTGACCGCACATGCCTGTGAGACAATCCTGTGTGGCTTGCTCGAAAAAGTGCTGTGCACTCCTTGTGAGTGTGGTGCCATTCAAAGTAAGCCCTCCATCGCCGCGGCAGCGTGGTAGAAGAGCTGCAAGGCCTGTTGGCTGAAGTTCCTCCAAATACAGCCTTAAACAGCCCGCTCACTCGATCACCGACCCCTTAATCTGTTTTGGCATCGCCAGAGTTCTATCCTCTTCCGGAGGCCGACAACCTGTGACCCCTGGCATCTTGAAGCTGCCGCTGCGAAGAACTCCAAGTCACGATCAAACGCTTTTGCACACTCAATGCTCTTGCTGGCAGGCCGTTCAATATGCTAATGTGCAGGTGATGGCATAGATAAGTCGGGGTGCTGCCTTTCTTCCGGCCATACTTCCAAAGAGGTGGCCTGCCACAAGCGCAAGAGAAACCAGGAATAAGCTTTAGGTTTGCGATTCATATTCATTGCATGGGGGCAACGTTGGGCGACGGGGAGGAGTTCAGGGATTCTGCGGCTAGAACCCGCCCAAAAGGGTTGAGGTGGAGATCTGGAGGAGGGCTCCCTGGCAGAAAGAAAGCTGTTGTTGGGCTTTGAGTTCAGGGTTTGCTGTTAACCTCAATATGGCAGTTCGTACCTGACTTGTTTTTCTAGTAGTCCCTTCGTCATTGTAATGAACTCGCGACACCTACGAGAATGTCCTCCACAGAGAACATATCATCAGGATCTCGACGAAGTCCATATCCTTCGGTTTTGCAGTCTAGGCCTGAGCGTCATGCAAATGGCACGAGTGGGTCTTCGGTAGGAGATCTCGTGCAGTCTTTCCTCACAGACCGACATAACCCCTCAGAAGTTTCACAGAATCTCGATCACGATGTTGTTCATTCTTGGACCTTCCTGCGACCCTGTGGAAGCGTCTTTCTAAGCACCCGACTTCTAAACTCTACCCTCCAACGCCGAACTCTATTGTTAAGGCGAAGGCCCCGAAAGCCATAAGCACCGCAAACTGGACAATCCCAAAGCCCTGACACCCAAACCCGTCAACTCGGATGTTAAAGCCGGTAAGGCCTTATCCGAAGAAGCCGCGCTTCTTGGTCTCTCCGCTATGGCCCAGCCTTGGCTATCGGCGCTTCTTAGGATTTTCAGGTTGCGCGCACCTGGGGTTTAAAAGGTTTAGGGTGTGAGCGTTTGGCTTGCTCGTACACATGGGTGGTTGTCAAAATTATGGTCCCGTTTGGGTTCCCTATTATTGTACGGCACCTAATATTTAGGGTACCCAAAAAGGGACCATAATTTTGACAACCACCCACATCTTTTTTCAGTCAAGGGTCTGAAGAGCTTGGGTTTGCAGGGTCTTCAGAGATTGAGGGGTCAGCGGTGTAGGGCCTGGGGGTTCAAGGCTGCATCTAAAGTCTTCACTTTGTTCCGAGCTGTTCTCTCCTTCGTTCCTAGAATGAAGCAAGGATTCGTTTGGGAACTGAATGAGAGGTGCGATTTTGGGAGGGTGCTGTTTGGAGAGTCCTACAACGCGGATAACGCGTGGGGGAGTCTGCAAGGGGGTGTACTTCAATGTTCGGTAACCCTCAGTTGGAAGGGCAGTCCTGCACAAAATGCTCTCATCAGTGCCAGTACTTCTCACCATCCGCACTTGCCGTACTGGGCATTGGACCCGAACAGCTTGCCGCAAACCTCGGCAAAGTCCTTCTGGAACTTTGCATCGTCCTGAACAAGACACGGGATTGGCGGCACCTAGTCAGCCGCCTGATTGGTAGACAAAATTTCGTAATTTCCCAAAACAGGGCGACCTGCAATAGATAGACCCAAAAAGGCGACAAGCCTGATTATTGGACCCCAAAACGGTACCCCTCATGTCGGGAAACCCCTTTTTAGCGGGTCATGAAGCAGCTCATGGCAGCTCTGCCGGCTTTGGGCTTGCCCTCCTCAACCTGACATAGAACATAGGGGTATAATATAGGGATAATAGGGGTTATATAGGGATCATGTAGGGTTTATATAATATATAGGGAATGGAACATGCGGGGTATGGTATAGGGATGATAGGGGGGCTATATAAGGATCATGTAGGGGTTATATAGGGGTTATGTATCATAGGACCCCACGCAGGCCCTCGTCAAAATGGCAGGTATCTGTTTAAGGCCCCTTTTCAGGGTTTCATGTCACGGGAATCGAGCTTGTGAAAATGGCCCCATATTACCAAGTGTCCATAGAACAGGAATGTTTCCCGGGGATGCTGGCAAAGAGCTTCCTGACTGAACGGTGCTTCTTCCCCACGTGATCATGGAGCTTTGCGCCAGCAATCTACAGAAAACTCTGTCGGGAGATTACACCCGGAAATGACGGAGCCGCTTCGACGCAGCCCCTATGAAGAGGAGCAAGTCAATCACCTCGCCTCACATGTTAAATGCCCGCTGAATAACGAGTTCAACTTAGTAACAACCTGAAGTGCGTTGTCATTGCTTTCCTGGGCTCTTTGGGATCCCTGTTCAACCCTACAGATGCAGCATGGCTGGTCCTTGGCATAGGCTTCGACGTACTTTCGAAATTCCTTGTCCTTCGCACGGCGCAGAAAAGCCTACCCGAACACCTCCACAGGCAGGGCATCCACAAAATCACTATTTTTGAACAGAACCCAAGCTGTACCAAAGTTGGTCTCCCTTGACAAGCCTGGCAAAACTGGTCTGAGACACCATAGTTTCTGGAGGAAACCAGCTTCCAGGGACTAACTACGACACGACAAGCTGCAAGTACCACAACCTCCACCAACAACTGCTATTTGCCCCATACTTGTAATACAATGCTTTCAAAAATGTCCTGCACGTTCCTGCACGTTGCTCCTAGCTACAATGCTGTCCTGGACAAGGACAATGTCAGATGGCAGCATCATCAAATCGCCTGGCAAGCGGTCATATGGGCATCTCCCAAGAAGGTGGGCCCCTCATCTGCTGAAACGGCATTATTAAAGCATGCGATGCTCTTGAGGATCTTGTTGCTGAGAACTCCATTTTTTTGCGGGTTTGGAGGGCTACCCCTTGCGGAGGAACTGACTGCACGAGGGGCACGGCACGCTGGCAAGATCTAATGAAAGAGCCAACATCAAGGGAAGCTTCGGAAGCTCAACTCAACAAGCCCAAGCCCTGAGACAATCAAGGCCTCTAGATTCCTGACTCTACTCTAGGTCACACCAGGCAGAGAACTGATGATGCATCCTGCATCCACACAAGAACTTCCACTCCGCTACGGTTCTGAAGTGCTGATATCAGACTGGAGGGATGGGTGGGGGTGATCGATACTTCACCTGAAGGGGAAAGGATGAATCAACACAAAGCTCGGAGAAACACACAGTGACGTGCCTGTTGGGTCTTCGAACTGCAGAGGACCCTTCCAGGGCTGTCCCTTATGGGTGGTCTTGATCGTCCTGGGTGAGTGGCTGTAAGGTTGAAACACTCGCATGGCAGGAAGCCCTTGGGTTTTGGGTGAGATCCGAAGGTTGTGGCGAACACAAGGCCTTGCAAACTTGTCAAGTAGGGCCATTTGGGTACTAAAGGATAGCTTGCCAGAACTCAGGCCCCGAGGATGCATTGCGAATGTGATTTGTACCAGGACCATTCGAAGAGAGATCCATGCCATTGATAATGAATGAAGTTGGGCCAAAGGTTTCCTAAACCCTAAGCCCCTAGGCCCTAAGCCCTTCAATGACACAGACGCTGTCCATTTTATACTAAAAGCCAGAACCTAATTTGGTTGGACAGCCGGTCCAACGTGAGCCCGCTACACGAATTGATACGTGTGGTGTGGTGTGGAGTCCAGCAAGGCAACAGCTGCAGCAGGACACCATTTGAGAGAGAAGGGCTGGGTTAGCTTAAGCATGCTCAAACCTAAACATAGACATACAGGAGTTCCACAGGGACCTGTACTGGAACAGCGAGCCACAGTGCAGCGCGAGGGTCCCGGGCTGACGCACAAGTGACTCAGCCCAAGCCACCCCTCTCCTGCCCATATCTCGAAGTTTGTCACCTCAAGCCCTGAATCAGTGCAAGGAGGAACCGCAAAGCCTTAACTAGCATTCCCACCCACTGGTGACAAAGCAACTAAACTGGAAAAGGCACCAAGTGTTCTCCAGGAGCTCGCGGAAATACTCATTGCCTTTGGCAAGCTTGGCAGAACATCGCACAAAAGGGACTGCAATGACATATGGTCCTATTCCACTTTCACACCTGGAAAACTCAAGACTTAAGCCTAAAGCGCAAACCTGAAACTCTTGCTCCAAACCTGAGCAGCCGGGTAGATTTCCAAAAAGTGTCTTAATGCCCTCGTTCCCACTTGGCAACAATAATGCTCCTCAGTGTCTCATCTGGGATTCTACAACAACCCGTCTGCACTATCCTTCTCCCAACCCTTATATACTGCAGTAGTTTATACTTATGAGCAAATGGCCCGCTGCATGCATCAAGCGAGCTTCAGGGATGCAAGAACTTTTCGGGCTTATCCAAGTGCCAAGTTTGTACCCCTGGATACCGTGAGTTCGGACATCAAAAACGGATGCAACGCTGCCTAGGCTGGACCCATCATAAGGTCCGGGGGAGGAGTGTTTAACATCAGCCCTGAACCCTAAACAATATTGTTGCCATTTGCTCTTCCATGCCTCTGCATACCCATATATGCACATATCACCTTAAGCAAGTGTAGGCGCATCGGACACCTGCAGCGTTCTTGCGTAGGCCCCTGCAATCTGCTTAGAGTCATGGGGATTCAGAGCACCCTCCCGCATTACTGTGGCGCAATTCCGCGAGCTGGGAAAGTCGACTTCTCACATCAAGAGACAGAGCAAGAGGCAACAAGAAGGAATAGTAAACGACACACACAACTTGAAGAAAGGGACAGCGGCCACAACAACGTCCCTAAGAACTATCAGCTATTGGGGAAACATGAAAATGCGGCACACATTTTCAAACACTGCTGTGTTGAAATCTGTTCCCAGGCACTGACCGTGGTGGGCGCCCGTGTCCAAGGACCCCAATAGCCGCTGCGGTCCTAAATTCATGCATGGGTTCCTCCAGGGTTCAGGGTTACTAGGTTCAGGGCTGCCAAACTTTGCCAGGAAGTTGTAGTGTAGCACCTAGAAAACAGCTGGGGAACATCCGCGGCAGGTAAACATCTTCTGGACATGTAACAAACCTTCGGGCATTAGAGAGTTTAGGGTCTTGGTTTGAGGTTGTGGGCCTAGGTTACCTGCTCCCTCGGACTTCAACCGCCTCTCAATCAAAGCTTCAGGGTTGGAGTTGGGGGATAAAGGCACTTGAAAGTTTGTCAAAAAACAAGGCTTGAGTGCCTGTATAGCCTTACTACTCTGCACAACGATTTGCATGGTCTCACTGGTTTGTACTTGGGTCAGATAGGACAAGCCACCTAGCCGGAAATCCCAAAGCCTATACCAGGGAATGAAGACCACCCAGATTCTGTGTGGCAGGCACCCAAGCCGTGGGCGCCGCTCAATGCCACGATTTCCTGTCTCTAGGAATTCAGGAGTTTGTCGTTTAGGGGGGGTTCATCTTGCCTTAGGGCGTAGGGATAGAAAGGGCGATGTAGTGACTGCGAGCATCCCCCAGGGCATTGGGGCTTGTCAGTTTAGAGTTTAGAAGCCAAAGCTTGGCATGAAAGACCTAGTTTAGAACTATGCTGCTACCTACTTTGAAATTAGTTAACACTGTAAAGGACAAACCAAACATAATAGGGTGCACTGCACGTGATTCGCAAAAAGCAAGGTTGCTAGGCACAGTCCGAAAAGCTCAATACCGTAAATCCGACTCCCTACACTCTTACAAGAAGAAACCAAGGATGTCAAGGAAGTATGCTCACCATTGGACTGTTACTGCGATGGGACATGTGAAAACCGCTGCGGAAATCATCTACAACCCCTTTTCACCCATTTCTCTCCGGCATGCGTCGGCCAATTCTGATTCCATTTGAAAGCTGGCCATTTACGGTTTAGACACGCGCATCGCACAAGGCAGGCACGGCAACAGATGTCCCAGTCAGCACTCCGCTAGGCTACTCAGCTAATAGCCAGGCCCAGTGGCAGACATTTACGGTTTAGGTTTCAGGGATGCGCTCAGCGTGTCGTATCTTTGGAGAACACGCACAAAGCTAGGCCCCTGATGTCCTCGTTGCTGCTATCGCCTTTCTTACTCAGTACTGCCTGGCTCCTGTTATTCAAGCCAGCTTCAACTTGACAATACTTTACCTCCTTTGATTGCAAGATCCTCTACTAGTTGTTTTGGTGACGCTTGACGAGTTTGAAGCCCTTTTTGAAAGACCCTCTTTCACGTGTTTCGGATGTGGAACACGAGCCGAATTCAAGCCATTTCCCTTAAATCAGCCCCAAGGGCCCTCAGAACCCAAAAGAAGGACCCAGCCTTCCAGTTGGTTTGGCTGGGAAACAATCCGAAACCCCAAGCCGTAAATCATGTGAACAGATTCGGTCTCAATTCCTTGTTTTCATAAGCATGAGAAGGACGTTCTTACATGGGGCCTTCTTATATTAAATGAAGGATCTCTGGCCTTCCTGAATCAGCACGTTATAGGTTTGAGTGGCATCCGGTACTAAAAGGCCTCAAGGCCACTTTGGAAATGGCCTACTCCCATTAAGGAACTAACCTGAACGAACGGGGAACCCTTGACATCTATTGAGAGAGAGAGGTGCTCTTCTGGGGATGAGCTGCAACATATGGGGCTGATCTTTGCTGAAGAAACCAGTATACAAACCTGAAGCCTCACATGATTTGATTTGGAATCTCAACTACTAGCATCCGTCTCAAAAAAAAAACCTGCTCACGAAGGTTTGCTGCAGCTATGGCTATGGTAGGGAATAGGGTTGCTACACCAGTACAGCAGCTTGGGACGTGAAGTTGCTGGCGTCCTGGTCGTTGAAGCCCATTCCTCGGTTCACCCGAGACGTGCAACATCCCACAACATGATCACATGGGGCAAAACAGGTCACGAGAGGCTTGGCAACCCTAGAAATATATCATAATAGTGTACTAGAGTATATTATAGTATAGTATATTGTGATATATTACTATAATATACTATATATGTAGTGCAAGAACGGTATAGCTCCAAACTCATTCATTCGTTCAGGCAGAGGATAGACTTCGATCTGCGGCGATGAGTAGTGCTCAGATGAACCTGTTCATCTTAAGCCAAACCCCGGACTCAAGCAAACATGCAACCACGAAGACATTACTGAGACTGCTGTCAATGCCAAAAGGGGTGTATATGGGATGACAGAGTAATCATGGGTTGTTGCTGAGAAACCTGAATTGAATACCATACTTAGGGAACCATATTAACTGGTTTACATACTCATTATGGCAACTCGAAAAGTTCCTCAACAGACCCTGAAGCCTAAACCCTCAACCCCTAAACCTATGATATATCAATCTCCGCCTCGGATCTGTTGAAAATCAGCCGCAGGTGTGCGGCTGTCTTGTCGGGGGCGCCCATGTCAGCGCTTGGCAGACGGCCATCCTCACGCGGTGGGGTGTGAAAGTTGTTGCCACAAGATTTTGGCAGGATTCTGGGGCTGCTTTTTGGGTGGGTCTATAGTAAGGGTGGAATATTGTCAGCTTAAGAACAGTTAAGAACCTCATTTGGGAACAAGTACTTCAACAAAGTCTTACAAAAGAAATCTTGTATCATAGTGACCCCATGCTGCAGCATTCTCATTAGCTCTACTGCGAAGGAAGAAGTTCCCACGTAAAATGAGCCTGGGCCTGTTCGCCAAGACCAGCAGATTAGATTGCTGCAAGTATCATTCAAGGTCCTCTGCAAGCCATGCAGGAAAATGCCTTGGCAGTACTAATTGTAATGCTATCTGCAAGCAGCATGGTTCAGTTAATGATCCGAGCAAGCACCTAAACTACACTATAAAGGAGCCCCGCATGGCCCTACTTTAATCCTCAACAAGAATCTTTGCTAGCAACCTTTAAATATCGTGCTTTGTGCATATATGGGGCTTTGGCTGCCAAACTGCAAATCCCTCTGACCCCAATGAAAGTTCAGGAAGACTATAACCCCCCCTGCCCTAAACCCTACAAAGTAGTGATTTTCTCTTCCATTATCCCTATACAACCCCTTTCTTACTATATTGCCCCTTGTGAGGCTCAAGTGGATGGCCACCTCCCCACCTTCAAGCCAAGCACGCGAGCCCCAGCAACGAAAAAACTACGTAGCTTCGTTTGGCACCTTGTATAGAGGGCAAAATGGAATACCCAGAGGGTCCAGATATACAACATTTAGGGAATTAGGCCCAAAATACCATACTATAGAAGAAATTATGGGTCCCAATTCCCTAATGGTTGTATATGTGGACCCTCTGGGATATTTTTGGAGAGCATTTAGAGCCCGGGAGCTCATCTGACGAAGAGGGGACTAAACCCAAGTCCTGATGAAGGTCTGATGCCCGCACAGGATGTTTGACTTACTGAGAATGCTGGTCAGAAATAGAAGAAAACGGGTGAGTACCCCTGAGAGGTCTTCAAATATCCATAACCCTAGAAGTACAACCCTAGGGGTACGACCCTAGAAGTACAACTCTAGGGGCGCAACCCTAAAACCCTTTGAACTTAGCACTCTCGTGTGTTCCCTTGCTACGGTCGAGGAGTCTCCAAACAGTTCTATGATTCCCAGGAATGACATTTCCTAGTCTGTAGCACCAGGCTTTCAATGCAAGGAGCTCAAGCTTGAAAAGCCAGTTTATGGTCTAGCACAGAGGGCGTTAGGGCTGTCAGGGCTTGTGGTTCTGGTCGTCAACACTCTGATGCTGACGCAAGAACCACCAAACTAGCAAGACATTGGTTGAGAATCTAGGTTGAGCCTCAGGCCAGGCATCTTCCTCACTTTGCGCCTGTAACATCCCCACGAATCCTGTGTAGATCCTTGTGATAACAGAATGGCATCCCTTTCAACCCATCTTGGTGTAGTGTGTAGTACTCAGCAACTTCTCGCGATGTTGGATCTATTTCCGAACCTGAAGTGAAGCCAACTTGGGACTATATTCAATGTCCATGTAGCCACCATTTGGGGTGAGATCGTTGCAAGTTGCCGAGGTCCTTGCATGTGGGACCATCCCAGGCCGGGCATTCCTGTCGTAGGGCATAATCATATAAGGATTCTAGGCTCTAGGGGAATAATCAGGGTAGTTGGGTCACTTGTCTGAAATGCAGGGCACTTTGCTGATCATGAAGGATATCCAAAGCAGGAGCCAGTAGTACCTATCGCTTTGCAATCTCCAGTTTGAGGACTTGGAAATCATTCATGGCTTCTTTGCATCATATTTTTGCGCTGTTGATAGGATCTAAACTTCGCAGCCCTGGTGCAGAAATCAAAATATGTTGGGTGACGTATGATGGGGGACTGCGCATGCGCAGCGTCCATGACTGGCGGCCGACTTTGTATTCAGAGGCCCTATCCACGCATTTCATATCCTAGTAGGATGGATTCCCAAGCTTGGGAAATGTAATTTTGGCGACTGCCCATTTCTTGAGGCCAAGAATACAACCAACCCAGGTATTCTGAGGTCTATGCTTAGGTGGACCCCCCACCCAGGAATAGTGACTGTAAAGGATAATACTGATTATATTAGAGTCCTTTTTTATTCCTATTATACCACTATTGCAGAGTGGGGGGGGGGTCCTCCTAAGGTCTATGTCTTGTAGCTTTTGGTTTAGGATTGAAGGCATGTCTCAAAACAGTGATGCACAGGTGACAGGTTCGATGTACAGTGTCAGGGTTGTCGGTTCAAGTCTGAGACAGTACTGCAGGAGGATGTCAGAGAAACGCGGAGAATGCAAGTCCCGGAATGGAAGCCCAGGAGCGAATGTAACGTCCCTCTTCAGTTCAAGCCTATGTGAGTGGTGTTGTTCCCAAGTTGGAGTATGTCAACAAGCTTGACGCACAGACAGGTTGCAAGGCGGATTCCAAAAAATCATCGAGGAACCTGTGAGTGCGATACCTTCTTGCGGAGCAGGCTTGAGAATGACACCGTCAGTGCAGCAAGCCGTTTACTTCTTCCTCCCTATAGCCTTACGTTTGGTTAGCTGGGAATGAAGGAACAGAAAAGAAACGGAAACTACCATAATGGGTTATACAGGGACTACTATAAAGATCCATCCCTTCATTCCTAGTTAACTCAAGGTAAGCATCTGAGGTAGCGGGGTTTTCTACTGGACCCATGGAAGTTCAAAGAGCTTCCGGCTAGGTAGGCGCACCACGCAACGCCAGTCCCATACGCAGTTTTGATCTGGGCCTAAACCCTAAACCCTAAACCCAACATCCTAGCTTGAAGGTAGCTTGAAAATTTCCCCAACTTCACACGGGGGGTTGTCCAAATGATGGTCCATTTTGGGGTACGCTAGAAACGAGAGGCCGCATACTTAACCACATGCCACAAAGACCAACCCCCACAAGCAACTTGGGCTTTAAGCAGAACTATAATCCACAATCATCCAGAGAATGGAGAAACTAGTATTAGACTAGGTTTACAAGAGTTTTGGGTTGAGTGGGAAGGTGTGTGTGTGTGTGGTTTCGCATAGCATGTAGGATCCCAAGCAGCGCCAACATTATAATCGCCTAAAACCCACCAACCCGTAACAGTAAACAGAATTGTACTTGTACTTTGATGAAAACATGTTTTAGCCAGAAGATTCTTGTGTCTCATTTGCTTTTCTTCCTTTCAAAGGGACCCGTCCAGTGGGACCCCTGGCCTTACCGCTGCTCTTGTCCTTGCGCCCTGGAGTGAAGGGCACCTCAACGAGAGTCATTGACGGTGACACGGTTTAGGGTTTGGGGCTTAAGCATGTTTACACCACAAAACCCTAACAAGCGGATTTGCAGCAGCGGGGCCCCAAGAAATACTCACCTTGTATAGGACGGTATGGGATTCACCACGTCCGAACCCTGACAAGGACCCGCTATTTATTTGCTTTTCATGGACTAATTACAAGCTTGGCAGCAGGAGCACAATTGAGTTGCGTGGGGCGCTGCCTTCGTGGAAAGACAGCTTGGATTTGGGCATGTGCCAGAATCATGATACCTGTTGAGAAGCTTTAAGAAGAACTGGCAAATCATGAACGTGGTATTTCGAAAATCATGTGTCCCTGAGCAAGGGGCTTCCTCAAACTATACATTGAGAATTTAAAGCCCCCAACACGGACGCATGCTCATTACTAACCTTCGTCCCATAACAGAATCTACATGCGCGTGTCGGCCTAGCATGCCCATCTACTCCCTGCATAACTGCAGAACGAGGGCGATGGTCCGTACCCTTCGGATCTCAGCATGTTGCTGTTCATGAAACTATGGAATTAGCGATCCGAGAAATCGCTCCCTGATCCATACCCTATGAATCGGGGTATGGAACGAGTGCACATTGTTCCATGTCCAAAGAAAACATCCCCCTCTGTTTCCGATGGTTTCCGGAATTTTGCAAATTCCGTTCAGAATGAAAACGAAGGAATCTCCTGAATGTCAAGTCTTTCAGCGCCTTAATTAGTAGCACCGAACCCAGCCTGCCTTGTTGCCGCCCATCTCCTCAATGGCTACGCAGGCCGCGTAGATCCAAAGATCTGCGTACGACACCGACGGGAACTTCTTCTTCACCTGAACTTGATGGCTTCTGAGGCGTGTTTATTTGCATTCCGAAGATTTCTAGGCAGCGCATACGTCGCCATATATACACAGCCATACAGAATACGTGTACCATGGGCCCAGTGATCTTGCGGCTTGGAAAGCCACAGCGACGAAGACCTTCTATGCCGAGTATTTGGTGGCCGCAGCAATCAGAATAGGCTTTGGGGCGGGTTGGTGATTAATGTGGATTATTGTAGTAGAAATATATTGTAATACATCAGGGAATGAAACCCGTAGTTATACAGACCTTCACTGTTACAACCTTCCTCTTGGGGGTCTTGATGGTGTGCTTGGCCCTATACCAACTCAAGAGCCAGTTTGGGTTGTGGCCGCTACCACTTGAAAGGTTGAAGCACATACCTACAAGCATGGCAAAATGCACCTGGTTAGCGTTATGGTTGCTATGGTGCGTGGCTACTCCTGCCAATAGTCTGATGGTCTTGTGATAAGCAACCAGCAGTTTAAGTGTACCAGTGCCACAGACGTCACTTCAGCCCTGAAGAATTGGCATCTGCACAACTGGGCACGGTCCCTGAACTTACAATGGGCACCTTGGTGGTAGTGATTGTACACGCGGCAGACCCACTAGGAGGAGGACTACGTGGAGACAGAGTACTAGTTGAAACAGGAAGAGTGCACCTAGCCACTTCAAATGCTTGCAAAATTTGAATTGTAACTCCGAGACCTTCAAAAGCCCTGAATCTTGGTCTCTACCCTAAACCCTAAACCCCAAACCCTGGACGTACAACCCTTGTCATTGGCCCTACTGGCTCGAAACGCTGGCAACTTAGGCCAAGGACTGGCTCGAGCAGCTGCTGGGCTACAGTCAGTCCTGCATTTGCGCCCCAGCTGACCTGGGGCTTTTTAGTGGTAAAGGGGCTGGGCACTCTAGGCAGAGCAGGTTTTGGAGTCGGGAAACGAGTGAACACTTTTGAACCGGTTTTTGGAACTAAGAAGTTTAGGAACTATGGGCTCAAGAGCTGTGTGTTTGGGGCGTGCCTGTTGCGAGGTTGGTTAGGATTGGGGCTGATCTACGGTTTGAGACAGGGCAAATTCGAAGACGGTGGTCCTCTTGTCTGACACAGAATTCCAACAGCTTTAGTGAAGACAACCGCGAATTGGAATGCTGCTTGATTGCTTGGTGTTGAATTGTTGGGGCGAAGCGCTGGATGTCAAGTAACGTGGGCAACATTGCTACCAGCACTGCAAGTACGACGTATCACGCATCTACTGCAACTGCTCTTGCTGCTGTATAACGACTACAGGCAGGCGCCCCCCTAGGCACTATGCGTGATATGAACGTTTACTTGTCTAAAGATGGTTGGGGTTAGGGGAGGGTTGGGGGGTCGTCACACGCAAGCCCAGGGCATTCTGCAAGACACTATAGCCCACAGGGGCGGGGGTAGTTACGTACAAAACGAAGCCATTCTTTAAGCAACCATCCTCCCTGACCCCATATCCGTGAAGAAGTTCTTTCTCACAGGAAAATACAGAGTTGATGTCTCCCTCAGGCGCTCAGCTCGGCAAACTGCTTAGGGGACGCACGGGGAGAGAGCAGACCCAATCAGCAGCAGATACTCATACAGCCGGATGTGAGACGTGTAGCAAAAAAAGTATCTAGGAGGGCAGCTACAAGTACTATCACAAGTTCTAGGTGCTGCTGCTGCTCTTCTGCTTGTACTCCTCCTCCTACTACGCCTGGTGCAACTACTAGTACTTCTAGACGAAGACTACTATTGGAAGCTATGGCATTGCTCTCAGGCCGGGGTCTCAACATCAACATTATCCCTGATCATCCCTGATCCGACCTCTGGCTCGAAGCGCATAGTTGCTCCGGCGGACCTCGGCACGATCTTCATGGCCGTTGTGGCCCCAGGTGCCTCTCCCCAGACTAAAATGAACCCCAAAAGAAAAGTTCCATGTCAGTTCGAGGGAGGTAGCTCATTGTATCATTTTGGTGTCCTTTTCCATCCGGTCGAGGGCTCAAGGTAAAGAATCCCCAGTAGCTCTTCTCTTTCCATCCGCCTAGGTCGTCCCAGCATTGTATGGGAACTGTCTAGCCCTCACGAGACATTTTCAAAAACCCTCAACAAATCTTAGGGGGGGCATGAATATACGTCAAGCGCATAACATACGGCCTTAAGCCTAAGACGAGCACATAGGTCCAACATCACCAGCACATCCGTTCAAAGCTGCAGATCAGACTATACTCTCCCATAAGTAGATAGAATGTGGCTCTGGGTATATTATACTAAGATCCCCATATACCCCATATTATATCTACTTAAGGGGGACCATACACGGAGGCTCAGTCGGTGGATGCTACAGCAGGAGACCATATTGGATGGCTTTGTGTGCCCCAAGCTGAGCCCTAAACCTAAGCCCTTAACCCCAAAACCTACACTCAAGGACCTGGACCTTACACTCTCAAGGCCCAAGCCCTCCAGTCTTAAGGCCCAAGCCCTCCAGTCTTCGTTGACTTGCAAAAGGTGCCAGCGGAATGCCAGGCCAGTCGGATCCTCCAATCCGAACTTAAAACTTGAGGGTTTGGGTCCGACGCAAGCAAAGGAAAGGGCTGCTGCTACGTTACGAAAATGTTGGGTTTGAAAGGGGATCACAAAGAGCCCTGTCGTGTCTACACCTCTGTCCTGGGGTAGAGCCAGGCGTACACCCGGCATTCTTAAGGTCTTATACTAGAGGCAATATGAGCTTGGGGTCGTTACTGTTCTGTCTCTCTCTCTCTCGCGCGCACGTGCTCAGGTCTCCCTGTCAGATGCGCCCCGCCCCTATTCTCCGGACTGACAAGCTTCACCATTGACAGTGCTCAAAGCATTCATGAAATGACCGAAAGAACTGAAAAGAATTGCTACTCCCTGTTAGCAGTTGATGGTTGAAGGATTCAGTCTTCTGGGGTTCCAGGGCCAGAAAGAGGCTGCGCAAGCAGAATCCTTACAAAATGCTGGCACACAGGAGCTAGCTAGAGTAGTTGCAAGATGTGAGAAACGTGGACACGGGAAGCACCTGCACCCGGCACCATATGGGCATTCATGTTAACTTACAACCGCATCGGTTCGATCCCTGCAAGTACTTATGGAAGGGGGGATTCAGTAAGTACGCAGGCTATGAGGAGGATAGCTGGTGTTTGGATCTGACAATGGTTGTCAAGCCTCACAAAGCGTTATACACTGTCTAACTGAGGTCCCCCCGACCCTGGAATGTGCAAAGAAGACAACACTTTGAGCCCAGCAGCAACAGCGGCCCCGGGGTAGCGCCGTCGTACGAAGAGTCCTCGCGTAGAAGTAGAAGCCAGAACGTGGCCTTGAAGTTCTTAAGGCTTACCCTCGCCGAGGCTCACATGGAAACCCACATAGCCTCCATGAAGTTCCTAGTGCCTCACTTCCCAAGGAATGAGGAACCCCATATGATATACCCACTTTGCAAAGAACTGTAGCCTCTTAGGACCCTCCTGCAGTTACATATCAGTTTGGACAGTGTCTGGGCCATGGCTTGAAGTGCATCTGTGGCACCCAGTACACTTCTTTGACCTGCCCATCATGCATTTCTTGCTGGCCTTCGTTTGGTATACCTTGCCGATTACTTCCCTAGTTCGCTGGGATCAGGACCCGGAAGCTGGAATTGTACACAGAAAATGCCATGCACTCCCGATTCCCGTTGAAGCCCAACAATCTGTCCTTGTACTTGTCGTCATCGAGAATGTTGACAATCTCCTTGCGGACTGCATCCCAATTCACATCTTCGCACCTTTTCTCAAAGTGGTAATCAGGCATGCGGGGGCTTGGCTTGTGGCGTGTGATTCTACCAGGTTCTGGGTAATGAGGCTCAACAAGATACAGTCGGAGCAGCCATTTCACAAGCCAATCAACGATAGCACTGCTGTCTGCCGTGCTAGTGCTGGTAGCAACACATGTAATTAATACGTTTGTTGCACATCTTGCTGCACATACGGACTGCCAACCCGGATTCTTTGCACCGGCCACGCGTGGTTCCTTGCGATTTTTCGCTAATCAAAAATGATTCCTAGGCCTTCCACGTGATAACTGCGTGAGAGCGCGTGAGACTGGTTTCGAATCCCCTATATAAACCCTACACCTCAACCCTGCTTGCATTTTTGCAGCTGGAGCACCGCGAGGGCGTCACCCAAAAGGCGGACCCAACAGCTCCGGCGCCCAGAGCCAGGGCGACAGAAGTTGGTGCCTGCGTTGTTTTTGTTCAATCAGGGTTTAGGGCTGTAGTGTTTAGGGCTGTTTAGGAGTTGAGTGTTGTGGGCTGAGGGGCACGGATTTGAAACTTCAGGGACAAGCCCCTTCATGGACAAGCCCGGGGATCCAAGTCTAGCTAAAGAGTGCATACTTTGGGCCCCAAAGTCCAGGGTTGCTACTGGTCTAGGTCAGCAGGATTACCGTCAGGATATCTTGGAAGAGTCTCACCGATTACGGCCCATGTTTCACAACTGCAAGCTTTTATTTGGGATCCTGGAGTGCTGTAAGGGTTGCTTTAATGTGCAGATCACTCGATTGCTTTTTGCAAGCGCTGTGCGGGCTCTATCGGAATGATCCCTCGAGGGTTTGATACTTGTGAGCGTGCGCTTTCGGATTGCTGAAACGAAGGATGCTGCTGTTGGCTTGGGGGTGATCCATGTGATGTGAAGAGTCTCCTAAATGATGTTTAAGAGGGTGTCCGGGATTCAGGATTCAGATGCTGGATGCTGCAAAGGTTTGGGTTAGCTCGAGACGGTTGTGGCGTCCTCTTGGTGCTTTTGGGCTTACTGGCTTTAGCATTCTTGGCTTAGTGCTGTACGGCTGCACGGTCCGCTTACAGAGCCCTATAGGCTGTGTAGGAACCAGGGTCAAGGTTATCCGGTCTCTTCACCGTTCACATTGGCAATCCCAAGGCAACCGAAATTGGCGCTTCCGGGCTTCCCTTATGTTGCTGTTGTTCTTGAATTGTCTTGCTAGCTGCCTTACGTCGACTCTGCATTGCAACGTATGTTTGCTGTTGGATTTCTAATGCTTCGAGCAATCCTACACTTTCCTTCCAGGATCCTGTCTTCACGATGGATCTTGCCAGGCTCACCACGGCGAGACACTTTGATTTCCATGTATGCAACTGAGTTGGAAATCCTGTTCAGAGGACACTACGAATTTCACACATGTTTTATTCCAGTTTGTGAACTACCTCGTCTTGTTTTGCTCGCCTCAGACGGTTGCTAGGCGTCAAACGTTTGCTTCTCTCATGCGAGTTGTCGCTCTTATTGCCAAATGTACTTTAAGGTGGCCATGGAAATGTGTCCAATAATTTCTGGCACGTGTGAAACCACGTGGAAGCTGCGGTGCCGCCTTCCGACACCTTGATGTAGCCCCCTGCAACGACCTAATTCAAACCTGCGAAATGCAAAGCTCTTGACACCGCTGTGGAGCCGCGATTTACGAATGTAAGATGCTAGGGTCGTGTTGTGCGAAAAACCCTAGACGTTTAAGCCAGTACCTAGAATGGGACAATCCGTTAGGCTTGCAACATTGTTAAGCATGATTTTGCCGAAGCACCATTCTGACAATGAATGTTGAATTCTGCCCCTGTCTAGACGAACCTCCATGTGGACTTGGCAAAACTTGCGGCCACTCTTGAGGGGCTAAAGCAAGGTTCCTATTATTTCTTGCGGGGCCTATGGGCAGTGCAAGCCTACCACATACCCACCTGCCAGCATGGCCTATAGACCTTCCCAAACTAAAAACACCCTCTGTGTGCTCATAAGACATCAACACTGGATTTTGGGCGCATGTATGCAAGTGTGATGTGTATGTACTATAGGGATACACACACGCCACAACCTTCATCAATCTACGCCCGCTGGGCCAGTCCTTCGCCTGCACCTGCACAAAACGGCGGAGGGCCGGACGGGCCAGCAAGGAGCCTTCCCACAAAATGTTCACATGGTTTGGGCGCAGGGAGGCGGTACCCAAACATGCAGGTTTCAACGAGGACCCGCAAAGAGTAAGTAATCAAAAAATAAGTAATCAAGCCCTGTTCAGATCCTTCGTTTGTTGCGTGCAACAGATCTGGTGTTCAGGAATTTCGTGCCCAGGAACATGTAGTGGCTCCTACAGAGAGTAGTGTCCATGTCGTCTAAATTGGGGACCAAGAACTTTTGGGGCACTGAACCAAAAGCTTCCAGTTGCAGAGGGTCCAAGCCCTAAGGCTCCCTAATTGGTTCAGGGATGTCGGGCCTAACGTTTAGAGGTCTGGCGCGGTTAAATTAACCACTAGTTGCAAAGCCTAGGAGAGGGTTTCTAAGTCAGACGGCTCAGGATTCATCAGTGTAGCTGTGGGGTCTGGGGTTGAAGCACAGCCTGACACGCTCAAAACAAGATTTCTTTTCGGAGTGTGTATTCTGCAGGAAGCAGAGGTCTTGCTAGCTGAAGGGCTCCGAGCCCAAACAAAACCTTGGCAAGGTATACACAGTGCTCTCCCTTAATTCACGCATGGGACTTACGGATGAGTTCGTCATAAATACTTCGTACATTTGTCGCTGCTTGTCATCATGGGAAGCTTTGGAGGAGCGCATGGAGCGCCATCAGCCAGGACCAAACAAGGGCTGAACCTTGCACTCTGACTACATCCTGCTAAGATAAACCCTCTCCCTTTTTCAAACAATGCGCAGGGAATTCTCACAGTATCAGAGACAGCTTGCTCATTGAGCCTCGGCACTATCAAAAGGAACAGAGCTGTCATCATCAGGTGCCGTAGAATATGTTCTGTCTCTGGGCTTCTACCAGTCCCTCATCCCCTGCTTGCGAGTCTGCGAAGAAACAATCTGATGGCAGCAAACCTTGTGCTTGTCTCTCTGTGAACCCCTGATCTGGATGTTCTACCTCCAAGTTAAGCGTCTGTGCATATCAAGACCCAAGCCACCCACCATGGGCACCATCATTTGCTGCTTTTTCAGTTGCTGAAACATTGGATTCTATCTATTAAGACTACACGTTCTCCGCCTCGCTGGGAAAATTTGACTGCAACAATTCCTGAGGTGTAGGTTTACGGGGACCGGCAGCATTGTCCGGCAACAACACTGCGACAGAAACTGCAGCATGTTCATCCTCACAATGGAACGCAGCATCTTGAACCTGGTTTACACCCTTAACATCCCTTAAACCCCAAAACCTGCCTGGTCGCACCAGTCGCGAGAACATGGCCAAGCAAAGGGAGGTTGGCGGTAAGTACTCACTCAGCCGAGACACGCTGCCAGCGAGTTATCATCGCAGACAAGAAGCTGCACACAAATTTCAGCAGCGCCAACAAAAAGAAGCACTGATAAGCACTGAACAAGCAAGACGCGTCATCAACATCCCCTAGTGCTCTAGGGCAACTTGTTCGACATAACAAGTTAAAAGTCCTGCAGTGCTTGAGCTGTTGAGTCACTTTACTCTCGGAGACCTGCCAGTCACGAGGTGGTATGAAGCACTGCGTCTGATTAGCTGGAATATCAGAGGTGGATCCATCAAATGGGACGATCACAAAAAGTCAAGCAGGCTCTTGCATGAGCATCCATGTCATCTTCGATTTCGAGCTTCGTCTGATGCAGTTCAAGGGCTCGGGGCATGGGGCTATCAGATGGGAATGAACAATTGCTAGACCGAAAAAAAACCCAAAAGGGTGCCCCAAGCTGAAGGCCGCCCTGCCAACCCCCTGACATGCAATCCCTTTACAATCGACAATTTAAAACCTGAACTCCCCTGTAACACAAGTTCTGAGGCATGCTAGCATATACACAGTGATCCTACACAAGCCTTTTCAGCGAGTTACAGCTCAGAGTTCCTCTAAGCTGAATTACGCAAGCAGTGCTGCAGTGTTGCATATGGGTTATGTGCAACATCACAGTGCCACGCCTTTTGCCTGGCGGGGTGCGAGAAGGGACTCGAAATTTAGCAATAACCCATATGCATCTGCAAGCTGAGGGAATTCACATGCTAAAGACACTGCTACGGACGACGTTGTCATCACCATGGCGCCTGACCGTACTTCTGTGTTCAAGCAGTTGCTGTGTCTGATTTCATAAATGAATTTGCTTGAAGCTTTATTTGCCCTCAGATGGGGCACCCACATCTCGACCCTCAAAGCGAGCGTTTAGATCTTGTCTTCCAAACCAAGCAACCCATATAGAGCCCCTTAACCAGCTAAGCTTGCTGTTTCACTCCATACATTATAGGGATTATAGGGGTTATATAGGGGTTATATAGGGATTGCATAAGGATTATAGTATTATATTGGGATAATAACAGACAATAGTATAAACAAATCTACAAGAAGCCCTCACCTAGTGAACACAGGAGAAGGACCCTCCTGCCGCACACCAGACAGCAGGGGGTTCAAAGGCTTCAGCCATTCGGTTCGAGGGTCTGCTCCTAAACCCTTTGCTCTCATGCTCTGTCAACCTGCGTTTATCTTTCCTCTGGTGAACTTGCGGGTACAGTCCACTGCAAGTACATTCTTTCGGGCACGGTCTACTACAATTACATGCATGGGTTCCTCTACCAACGCTACAAGCCCTAGGTTCAACCATAATTGGCCCGAATTATCCTTGAATTAGCCTGATTGAGTGGGAATTTGGGATAGCATGGGGGAGGGCAACCCATGATATGAACGGATCAGAAAGGCAAAGAGCAGAGTGCTGCACCATGTAAGCACCTGCATAATCGCAGCTTTCATCTTTACATCTGCTTCTCCATTGGAGTCTCCATTGTCGTACTTCAATCTCTGAAGCATATTGTGTAAGTATACAGGTTTCACGTGGGGCTTCCGAAATAGGAAGCCGCAATATAGACCCCACAACATTATCATCCAATCTTCATTACAAGGACAAACAAAAAGAAGGGCCTTCGATTATACCCCTAGTTATCCCTATACACACCTTTCTATCCCCGTATATCCCTTTATTGAACGTTATTGAACCCATGCTAGGCATGTGACGTTTGATGCATGCTTCCACTGCCATGCTCCGCATAGACAGGGAAGACACTACAACACCCGTATATCCCTAAGCCCTGAAACCCTGAATGGCATGGTAGTTGTCATGTTCTTTTCCATTATCTCCCAAAATTCCCCACTATACCCAACATGTGTATACACACTTTTCGGTCAGCTGTCATCTCAGGGAACCTCAGGGAGTTGCCACAGTTCAGCTCGGGTGGCTGAATCTTTGGCTGCGTCATGGGCTTCTCAGTATGTGCGGCTTAGGATTTTGGTTTCAGGCTTTTAGGCTTCATGGATGTTCAGGGTTTAGGATTCGAACTCATGACAAGTACTATGATGATTTGATGTTTTGGGGGGTTATAGGGGAAGGCCAATCGGGTACACTCATGTCATCACGGCTTTGCCGGCAGGCATCAAACAATCTCACCCATGAAGCACCCACATGTCATTAAAAACTAAACCCTAAACCGTAAACTAGAATCCTGGATTTTACGACTGTCCAGGAGATGCTCACGCCAGCAAGCAACTAGCACATGCAAATCATGTTGTCAGATTTTAAGCATCCGCGCCCTGGCGAGAATGCCCATCTAGTCGCTACCCTGTGGATTTTCAATGCTGGAGGGTCTTTGTCCTGTCCCGCCTGGGGGTGTCTCAAGCTTTTCTGGGGCCCCTTCTCAGAAGTTCTGCTACTAGAGCCTGAATACATTACTAGAACTTGGAAGGCTATAAGAGGGACCCACGGCATGAGACAGAGCCCTCTACTTTGGGAAAAACAGGCGAACCTCGACAGAAGGAAGGCTCGTGGATTCACCTGCCCTAGGCAGTAAATGAGGAAACGCACCAAAGCAAGGGACATGGTGGAACTCAATCTGGCCCCTGGAAGGAAAGCAGTCAAGCTAGAATCGGTTCGTATCATATGGTTTGTTGAAATTCCGTATACTAGTCCAGCCGATTAAAAAAACGAAGCATCATGCGCAAAGTCCATGGGTAGGGACTAACACTGCGCCATTGCTGTCTTAGCCATATGCACGAGCTTTTGAGCCTTTTTATGCCAGTCCTGTGCCCCTTTTTTCATTATGAAGTGCCGCCCCCTGCGTTGGGGGTCCTCATCAAAATCGATCTGTACTGTAGGCATGCGCGCCCAGCCTCATCCCGCCCCCGCGAGCGAGGACAGCTTGGGGGTTATTGCAGCTGCCGCCCACTCGCAGAGTTTGTGTAGCTTCCTTGCTGTCCAGACGCCAATGGGAACAGGGAATTCACAACCCAATCATTTGCCTTGCAAAAGTCTCTACCCAGATGTTCGTAAGCGTGATAGACTTCAGGATGCTGACAAGAATCCGGATGACGACATGCATTATGCTTGACAACTCACAGGCAGGCACATTATTCTGATGAAGCACCCGTGGCAGGGAACAGGGAATACCGGTCAAGAACCTGCCAATGGGTTAATAACATTTCCTACCTGGGTTCAAACCCTAAATCCCAACCTCCGCACAGCAATTTACTAGCCGCCAGCCATCCCATCGGACAGCTAGTACTTGGAGGGTACCAGGGATGAATCGCTGAAAGCCATAAGAGGGTAGTGACCCCAGTTCCTCTCAACAAGATCAACCTACTTGCTACATCTCCTGGCCCGCCAAGCATTGTAAGGAAGCTCTCGTCAGATCTAAGCCAGAAAAAGCGTTTGCCACATTGTTTGATATCTTGGCACCTATCCTGCTGATGAGAAGGTCGACTTTTGATGAGTTGAAGATTTCCTCAAGAAAGGAAGCCCAAGGTTGCAGGCAAAGGAGTACTGGAAGCAACGGTGAGGCATGGATTATTCAAAGCTGCGGGTACGCGGACTACTAAGCCCTGATACCGGATCCAATTAATGATTACTGAGTCCTGCTATAGAAATCCTCTGATACATGATATACATCTCGCAGACTTCCTAGATCCCCCACACTATTCATTGCACATCCTGTGTGACTTAGAGTTCCAGCGCTGGACGGCAAGAGCATGCCTGTCGGTGAGACTCCGAGCGCTCTAATTCGATTCACCTGGTGTCTCCAAATGTCGGGTCCCTTTGCCGGCTGTGAAAGTATGGAGTCATCCTATGTGGACACCCCTGTCTTGAGACCTTGCTATGGAACATCCCCAGTCTCTCAGACTCGGAAGGCGCAAAGCTTGATATCTGCTCAACCTCTGCCAACATCTCTCCACAAAGCCATCTCGTGTTGTGGTGTCGGCAAAGGGTCCCGACATTGATGCTGCCGTGGCCTGGAGTCTTCATGGAACGCCTCTGACTTGCTCGAGGCCGCTGCCTGGTTGCTCGCCTGCGTGCGCCGACCGATCGAGGCCAATCGTCGGACCGTAAGCCCGAGTACCAACTGACGAATCTCAAAGATTTAGGTCCTATGGGGCTTATAGTCCCCCCTAAGTAGATAGAATATGGGGTATAGGGGGATCTTATTATAACATACCCAAAGCCATATTCTATCTACTTAGGGGGACTATAGATCTTCAATGGGATGGCACTTGTCCAGCACCCATCTTCTGAATGTTTCATGGGGGGGGGGGCGTTTTGGCACCTGTCCAGCGTCCATCTCTTACAAACCCTGGGAAACTGGATTGGGTCTAAAATGAAATTAGGGTATGTGGCTTGAGCCTTAGGGATGGACTTAGGGCGCAGGCGTTCGAAGACTATCTTGCTATCAATCCAGATTTTCACAAGGCTAGGCAGTACTTTTTGGAGATCGTTCGAGGAATCCGTTGCGCAGTTAAACTGGATGCACGTAGGTCTTAAAATGAGTGTGCACAAGGAACACTAGAAATCCCCTAATGCAGCACCAGAGGCCACCTAAACCCAGTATCATGCCCATGCCCGTTGTTGCAAGAAGCTCGCTAGCTTGGACTCCCAAACGGGCATAGGAACCATGAGGGAGGGGCTTTTAAGGGTGCACTCTAATGATTTTATATGACCTTTTCGGTTGGTTTCTTCGCTCACTCTGCCATCGCAGAAGGGAAGCACCAGGGTCTTAGACTAAGAACTACAGGGAGTACTCAGAAGATTTTCAAAAACCTCTTTTAAGTGCAACATCCAGTGGCGTGGGAACCGTTTAGTTTTACAGTTAGGGGTATAACGGCTTCGAAGCCTTGGTACCGTTCCTGACGCTTCAGGGCTTTATGCTCACTACATCTCACTACTATGTGTCCCCATGGCTCTCCTTCGATGCAGAATCCACAATCAAAAATGCATGTTCAATAGCTCTTTGGGATCCAACCTAATTAAGGTTGAAACCATGGCCTAAGGGCCCATATTAGGAGCCCACACTTCTCAACCTAGATCCAACCAACAAGAACGCTTTTAAAGGCTTTCTCGGGTGCTCATGTGTTGACCATTCACACTTCACGTGGCGCGCCAGCTTGCATAAGCTTTCCCACTTTTCTCATCTTGCTGGTGGTTAGTAGGAATAAAGGAATACATGATATAGGGGCTATAGAGGGATTATATTCCCACCCTAAGCCCTTAAGTCGTGTTCCCTACGAACCACGAGTAAGGCTTCTGACGTGAATTGCAGTCAGGCCCTCCCTCAGCACGTGCATGATTCTTACACAGAAACAAACTAAGCCTCCCGGTTTATTGGGCCCTTAATGATAACGCCCCCAACATGGCACCATTACACATCTCACGTAGGGGGAAGATTTCTTGTTAGGGGGCCAAGGTGGCTATTGTTGGCCTTATGATAGTAGGGAGGGGATTGGGATTATGCAGGTGACCGCACAATGCAGGAAGCACTCCCATGAAAAAAAGAAAAAACGTTTGAAGAGAGAATCAACCAATGCAAGCCACAAGCCATGTACCCCCGAGAACGCAGGTTTTGCCGTTGGAAGAAATGTGGATCTGCACTGCACAGTGGATGTTTTGCTGCCCCAAGAAATACATGACCCAAGCCTAGTTGGCAACGCCCAGGTAGCGCAGGCAGGTGTAGTTGGATGCCTGACGGGTCATCCTATGCAAGCTGCTTGGGAATTACCCGCAGTTGTTGTTGTGGGCGGTATACGGGGACTTGACTCCTCAAGTCGGGCGTCTTGACTTTGATACATGGGGTCTGGCTGTATCTCTACTCATTATGTACTTCATAAATCCTCAGGACATTCTTGTTACACAGCCTGGCATTTTTGGATATCCTCTCGGGACATAGACGCTCCTGTACAAATGATCCCTCTAAGGTGTAACAGTGATCTCCACATGTTGACGAGGTTGCGCGTGTTATTTCCCAAGCAGCCTGCCCCTGCTAAGCCACCCAAAACATGAGATCATGAGATCCTCATTACCTAAAACCTCAGCCCATGATTTTGAGACACTCTCATGTGAGGGTATCCAAAGATTACATTAAGGTTCTCCTTTTCTGGCAGTCTCTGTCAGAAGCGCGATCACGTGTATATATGTATGCATACAGGGAACCCTGCTATGAAAAAAGGCCCCATAACCCTAAAACATCCCCATGACCCCTTTAAATGGATCTAATCCCATGTGGTATGCTCTCAAAATTACGGTCCCCTTTTGGCTCCCGATTACAATACGGCACCTAGCGTTTAAGTGTTTAGGGTTCCCCAAAAAGAAGACCATTATTTTGACCACCTAACATGTTAGAGAAAATGACCCTTCACGCCTCGCGTGAGGCCTGGATCCCCCCAGACCGGGTCCAGATCTCGCAGCGGCCGTTGACGTGGAACTCAATACCCTGGCCTTGAGACTTCAAGGAATACATGGAGGAATAGTGGAAAAGAAAACGGAAACTGCATCATCGTACCTCTGGTTAGCGTGGACTGAAGACATGGAAAACAAGATGCAAACTACCATCTTATTGGATTGTATGGGCACTGCTCTAAGGACCCATTCTTTCATTCCTTGCTAGTCAGAGGTAAAGGTAAATAATTACTGCGTAGGTAGGGATTACATAGACGGTTTCTCAATGGAGTGAAGGTGTGGTTTTGGAATTAGGTTTCCAGGGTTTGGGGGGCAAGAGTTAGGCGGGACGTACGGTCTCTCCGTCAGATCATGGCATTGTTGATGGTCAGAAGTTTACTTCTCAAGATTTCAAGGCCTGACAGTTCAGTGTTGGTTGTCCCCAAGCCCCAACCCCTGAACCCCGCCCTGAGTAGGGTTGGGAGCTTTTGGCTATAAGTCCCTTTGTGTCTTGCTTGGCCGGATAAACAAGACGCCCTAAGTGTGCGTATGCTGCGCAAATTGCTACCATTTGCCCAGAGATGACACAAAGCATCTCAGAACCAGCATGCAGGTATCTAGTCACGGGCTTCCCATTTGGAGGCATAACCATCAAGAAAGTGGCCTGGGCAACCAGAGTGGTCTTTGTGGCCAGATTCTCCTGGTGACTAAGATGCCCGAACTTGAGTTAAAGGTCATGGTGATGTTTCCAGAGCAGAAGCCCTACTTGGAGAGCACTATTCTGCATTAGGTTTTGCCTCGAATGATGTAGGAACCAAGCAGGGCTTCCCGCGAGTTCGGTTGATCAAGTCAGTGCAGTGATTTTTTGAAACCATTTTTCCATATTCCCAATGGCCAGTTTCGCCACGTAACGCAGAGAGGCAGCGATGAACCCACAGCCCCTCTTCCACCCAGGAGCACGCACGTGACCAGCTCTCAACATTGGCCCACTTGTACTGCCACGAAACAGAGAACCCAGCAATTCTTCCCCCCGGCATAGGACCTCAAATGTCTAGAGAAATCCCACCTCATCAAACTTGCAGCTCAGCAACAACCTTCAGCACTGACGCAGAGGCTTTTGCATCCTTCCAACGAGCTGGCCTGAAAAGCGCTTCTCTCTGTTTCTTTGCAGTTTAGTATGTGGGTTTAGCTTGTCGAGGTCAGGGTTTAGAGATTCGGAATTAGGATTTAGGGGGAAGACTTCTGCTACAGACGCCTCGGAACCATGCGAAATGCAATTCCTGGAGTCCTAGAGAAAATCCTGCACGTGAAGTCCTGAAGTTACTTTGATCCTGGAACGTGGATCTTCTGGGTGCTGCAGGAGTTGGTCCATGAACAAAAAGGGCGGGCGCTGAAATCTGGGTTCCTAAATCGCTGCTCCGCAGGGGCCCCTTGGTACTGAATGCAAAAGACATGCTTTCTTGAATTAATCAAGGCACACGACATCACACGACGTCGCAAAGATAAAATCTTAAGGCTCCGTCGCACATCTGTCACTGCTGCTACAACGTGAGTTTTCTACCATCACCGCCATCGAAACGTCAGGTTGGTTGCTCCTGCCGATACCACCAGCAGCAGCACCACACCCACCACCATCAGCAGCACCAGCAGCACCACGAGCACTAGCAGCAGCATCAGCAGAACAGCACCGGCAGACCTGCACCAGCACCAGCACGGGCACCACCAGCACCAGCACCGGCACCACCACCAGCAGCAGCACCATCACCACCACCAGCACCCAGTAACACCAACATACCAGCACCAGTGCTACTGTATGGGCACCAGTGCCACCACCGCCATTGCCGCCGTCGCCGCCGTCGCCGCCACCGCAACCACTGCCACCACCGTCACCACCCCCAACTCTTCACCTCTGCCAACACCGAGACAAGTACTTTACTAGCTCAGTCATTCTTGACGGCGCTCCTGCGCTACAGTGAAGTAGCTGGCCAAATTGTCGTTGGGATGGGCGCCGCGACACACGCGGTTAGAGCCGCCATCCACGGGCTCGAAGATGCCTTGAGGAGGAGGAACGCCTCAGTCAAGAGAGTACAGGAGATCCCCTCTTATCCTCAAAAACCCAGGTTGCTTCAAGACTAGAATGCAATGTTTGAGCGACATCAAGTCAACCCCCTGAGGATGGCACTTAAGATATTGTATTGGGCATGCTCGAAACACTTCTTGATGAGGGCTTGCCAGAGGAAACTTCACTGCAGATTGCTTCGACGCTCTAAGAATGACATGAGGACCCTCTTGCCATTGTAGGTGCCTTCTTCCACAAATCCACAAAAAGGTGCAAGTCCCAAACGCCCAAACAAGCATGGAACCGCCGGTAGCTCCTTTTCAAACGGTTTATCATCCTTTGCTTAGGCGCCACGTATGTAGCCTTTTAGCTGCCAAAAAAGATGAGGTGTACCTACTAAGCCATTGATTCTGGAGAAGCTTACCTCAAACTCGTAGAGCTCTTATTGGGGGCACCCTTAAAAAGCCGCAAAACCCAAAACCACCAAACCGTTGAACTGAAGACTGGGGTGTTGCTTGGGTTTGGCCCCCACCCACTAATCACCAAACATGACCACCAGGGATAGCAGGAATTATGCAAGGCTCTCATGCGCGGCTCCTACTTGACAAGTAAGGGAACCGGCCCTAACCCCAGACCCTAAGGGTGGGCGCACATCTGCGGTATTGCGTTCTCAGGGATTTTTGCAGCAAGGCGGCCGTAGCTCATGCAGATGTAGTTCTCCAGAGAGATTGAGGCGTGAATCCCTGCTTTTGCTTTAGTTTTTGTTGCGGATACCACAGACGTTCTCGTGCTTAAGACCAATCCTAGGAAACAGTCCAGTACATACAAGCAACTGCCTTGCATGGCTTGAGGACTTGTGCTCACTTTTGTTTGAGGCGGATCACCCACGAAAAAGTGGACTTGAAGGTCTTCTACTGTGTAGGGTCTACGGTGTGTGCTTACTATTTCTCAGGCGGCAGAGTGGGGAAGACGGGGATCACTCTGGGGTGTATAGGAAGACTAACGGGGCAACGTTCAGAGTGTCACTCCACCACTTCCGCTGCTAGATATAAGGTTTCAGGTTCAGATTATATGGTTGATGTATACTGCCTCAGAAAAATGGCCTACACCAAAGACAGCAAGTGGTCTCAAATGGGCATTCTACAACTCCTACTGGCATACAGCAGAAGTTGCGTGCGTGAAATACGTGACTACTACTGCCAATCCTGAACCCTAATGTTGGAACTGTCAGGGTGCTGTTGTGTTTGTTTGAGGTCCTCCAGGTCCAGTTCCGTGTGTGTTCGGCTTTGGGGCCCTAGCAGAATGCAGATCATCCTTTGTCAATGAACCCCCAGAGCCCTGACAATCGTGGGAGCCTTCTTGAGGACGCCCAACACAATTTTCTGGCCTTTGATGAACCCCCTCAACCCTTGAACTCCGGCCCCAAAGTTCTTTAGCTATGGGGTTTAGGGCATGGTGGGCCTTCGGGGCGAGTCCAGATCTCGCAGCGGCCGCGGACCTGAGTGCCACTCTCATGCGCGGAATTTAGGTTGAAGGGCTGTAGACTTCGAACAGCACTTCCCGCTGCCTAGATTGAAACAACATGCAGAGCAGACAGTAGGGCCTCAGTAGGGTTTACCGATCGAGAAGTCCTGATCATGCCAGGGTCCTTGTCCAAACATCTTGCAGCTGATTTGCTTATTCGAAGCCTCATAGTTCACAGTAAACCTATTGAACAGAAACTGCTACAGCTCTTGCAGCCGCTCCTCCGGCTACAGCTATTTCTCCAACACCGATTAAGTCGACCAGCACCACCGCAAGCGCCAAGGGGCGTGATATTCGATGCCAACGCACCCGTCCGTTGACATGCACTCAGACTTGCAGCCCTGGGACCAGGCTGCGGTTGGCTCAACTCAAAGGCACCTTTCCCGTTCTCAACCCTCGACAATAAACACATGTTTTCGCATGTGTATCATACATAAGCGTATATATGTATATACATATATATATACATCGAATTCAACGCTGCTTCGTTCTCAAGTGGATGTATAGAAGGTTTGACGAGGTTGTATGTGGCTCTGAGCCTGGTTGGGAAGCTTTTGTATGCAGGATCTTGCTGGTAATTGATTTCCAGGCAACCCAATAACTCAGTGAGGAAGCTCTCTTTCCAGGCAATTCTACTTGGAACCGAATGCCCAACAAGGCAACAAGGGCATAGCATGTCTGCGCATTTCACTGTGGGGCGTTGCGACAGCTAGGGTCTACAGCACAAGTTCACAAGACCAGTGCTCCAGGGACATCCTGCTGCTGTTGCTACTACAATTACTGCTACTGCTACTACCACTCCTGCTGCTGCTGTGGCTACTACTACTACTACTACTACTACTACTACAACTGCTACTACTACTACTACTACTGCTGCTACTACTACTACTACTACTACTATACTACTACAACTACTACAACTACAGGGGGTATTAAGGGAGATGTGGACTTAAACCCTGGAAGTTGGTTT